TTAACAAAAAAAATGGTGGCGCTACGAGAATAAAGGCGTAACATTTTGACATTAAAGTCGTAATATTATGAGACTAAAGTCGAAGCCAGAAAAAGTCGTAATTTTAGGAGAATAAAGTCGTAGTCAAAATAAAGTGTTAATATCAGGAGAACATCAGCGGCTCGTGGAGAATTTTGTAAAAGAGAAGAATCTGTGTTTCATTCGTTCATTCGACTGAACAAGGACTGAATCGGGACTAAACAGGTCCAGAACCAAACCAGAACTAAGACCAGGACTGAGGCCGGGACCAGACCAGGACTGAAAACAGTTTAGTCCTAGTTTAGTCCTGGTTCAAGTCAGGACTAAACCAGGACTAAACCGTTTTCAGTCCTGGTCCTGTTCCCGGTCTCAATCCTGGTCTCAGTTCCTTGATCCTGTCTCAGTCTTGGTCCCTGGTCCTAAGTCCTGGTCTCAGTCCCGGTCTGGTCCCGGACCTCGTTCAGTCCTGGTTCAGTCCTGGTTCAGTCCTGGTTTAGTCCTGGTTTAGTCCTGGTTCAGTCCTGGTTCAGTCCTGGTTCAGTCCTGGTTCAGTCCTGGTTTAGTCCTGGTTTAGTCCTGGTTCAGTCCTGGTTCCTGGTTCAGTCCTGGTTCAGTCCTGGTTCAGTCCTGGTTCAGTCCTGGTTTAGTCCTGGTTTCCTCAGTCCTGGTTCAGTCCTGGTTTAGTCCTGGTTTCAGTCCTGGTTCAGTCCTGGTTCAGTCCTGGTTCAGTCCTGGTTTAGTCCTGGTTCAGTCCTGGTTCAGTCCTGGTTTAGTCCTGGTTCAGTCCTGGTTCAGTCCTGGTTCAGTCCTGGTTCAGTCCTGGTTCAGTCCTGGTTTAGTCCTGGTTCAGTCCGGAGGCGCAAATAATGAAGAAAATTGTTCATTTTCTTATTTTTGGTTTTATATTGAAAAACAAGGTTCTTCTTCTGCCGCATTTTTCACTTTGACTTTGATTTTATTACGACTTTATTCTCGTAAAATTACACTTTAATGTCAAAATGTTAACTTTATTTGGGCATAACAGTTCGTGTGTCGCGGTTCGTGTGTCGCGGTTCGTGTGTCGCGGTTCGTGTGTCGCGGTTCGTGTGTCGCGGTTCGTGTGTCGCGGATCGTGTGTCCCCCCCCCGACTTCACTACGTCCAAGTCAGTCTGTCGCCCCCTAGTGTCTGCGCTCAGTTTCATTTCTCTGCAGCTCTCGATCAGAATCAGAAACACTCGACGATTCACAAAAACCCAGGAAGTGTCGAGTTCGGGCTCCAGCCAATCAGAGAAGAGACAGACATTCTGTGTTGGCGACGATTCCCCAGATCCTCGAGGATTTAAAGTCGGAACAAAGAGAATGTTTGGTGAGTTTGAACTCGGGGAAAGACGTTATTGTTCTTCTTCCTACAGGATTTGGAGCTTTACAAACGTCACGACCAAACAGCAGCAACTGGTTCAATAAAAAAAGTCCCGTCTCCTGTCGAGTGAACGAATCCTAATGCTGCAGGTCACACGGTTTCCACCAAGTGAAACCAGCTCAGGAATCAGACCGACCGCGTCCCTCTGAACCACGAGAATCCTGCAAAACTCCGACCGTCGCACCACCGTCCGCACACTCGCCTTTCACCGCCACGAAATCTTGAGTAAAAGTTGATGCTGGAACAGTCACTGCTGCTCTTTACTTTTAGAAAAGTTTTGTTTTACTGTTTACTAGGAATTTTTTTTTAATAATATTTCAAACATTTGTGGCTTATTTGAGTATATTTATTTCATTTATTAGTTTTACCAGCAGCACTTTGACTTTATTATTTTCCCGCTTGTATAAAGTTCAAACTAACTGTTGGTTTAATAAAAACACAAATGGTTTTACATTTTGTTCCCAAACTGAACTGAAAATTGAACCAAACCGTGAGCTCAAAACCGAGGAACCGAACTGAGATTTTTGTACCGTTACACCGCAACAACATTTATATTTTTCTCTTTGTTATTATTTTATTTTGTGACGTGTGACTCTTGTGTCCAAAGCGTTTCCCTGTGGATCAATAAAGTTTCTCTAAGGCTGCGTTCAGTCTGCACCTGAAGTGACCCAAATGCGATTTTTTGTCTCTATGTTTCCTGTATCTGATCTTTTAATGTCTGAACCACACAGATGTGATGTTTTCACATGTGACCAGGACACTTGGATCTGTGCTCCTGAAACTGATCCATATCTGATCTTTAACATGTGACTTGAGTGTGAACAGTCAGGTCACATTCATCCACCTACACGTCATCAACAAGACACAAACGTCACTATTCTGCACTGAAGTAGAGAAAACTGTTCATGGCTGAAGTGAAGCACATCTCCACTGGAAACTCTCCTTCTCCTTCTCAATCTCCTCCTTAAAACAAGTCAGTTTCATGTTCTCCGGTACGAGAGGAACTTTAAAATCTCCAGGTGCTCGATGCTGCGTCCATGTTTGTTCAACTTGTGTAAACACAGAGACGCTCGCTGCGGTTGACGTCGTCGTGTCTCCAGTGTCACATGTGGGACACTTTTGGACCGTTTAATGTTCACACTGGAGTCACATACAAGTCACATTTAACTGGAAATGTGAACGACCTCGAAAAAACATCGGATTTCACCAAAAAATCTGAATTGAGCGTTAAAACCTGCAGTTTGAATGTAAACTATGTCTAAGTCTGGTCTTTTTAAATTCACATCACGGCCGTAAAAAGACTTGAAAATCAGCACTGAACCGATTCTAAAACTAAAACGGAAACTGCAAGACTTGTTTTCTCAGGTCTGGAGCTTAAAAAAGTTGCTTAGTCGCTCAGTATCAAGATGGAGTTTGAGATTTTGGATGGAGTTTGAGTGAACAGTTTGAGGCACTGGAGACTGAAAGTGAAGAGGAGGAGAGGAGGAGGAGGAGGAGGAAGAGGAGGAAGAGGAGGAGAGAGGAGGAGGAGGAGAGAGGAGGAGAGGAGGAGAGAGAGGAGGAGAGAGGAGGAGAGAGGAGGAGGAGAGGAGGAGGAGAGGAGGAGAGAGGAGGAGAAGAGAGGAGAGAGAGGAGAGAGGAGAGAGAGGAGAGGAGAGAGAGGAGAGAGAGGAGGAAGAGAGAGGAGAGAGGAGAGAGGAGGAGGAGAGGAGGAGGAGAGGAGGAGAGAGGAGAAGGAGGAGAGAGGAGAGAGGAGGAGAGAGGAGAGAGAGAAAGGAGAGAGAGGAGGAGAGAGGAGGAGAGGAGGAGAGAGGAGAGAGGAGAGAGAGGAGAGAGGAGGAAGAGAGGAAGAGGGAGAGGAGGAGAGAGAGAGAGGAGGAGGAGAGAGGAGAGAGAGGAGGAGAGAGGAGGGAGGAGAGAGAGAGGAGAGAGAGGAAGAGGAGGAGAGAGGAGGAAGAGGAGGAGAGAGGAGGAAGAGGAGGAGGAGAGGAGGAGAGGAGGAGAGAGGAGGAGAGAGAGAGGAGAGGAGGAGGAGGAGGAGAGAGGAGGAGAGAGGAGGAGAGAGAGGAGGAGGAGAGAGAGAGAGAGAGAGAGAGGAGAGAGAGGAGGAGAGAGGAGGAGAGAGGAGGAAGAGGAGGAGGAGGAGAGAGGAGGAGGAGGAGGAGAGGAGGAGGAGGAGAGGAGGAGGAGAGAGGAGAGAGGAGAGGAGGAAGAGGAGGAAGAGGAGGAAGAGTGGAACCTCGTCTGGACAGATGATGAGTCTGAAGTTGAGCAGATCATCGTCGTCTGGGAAGTTGATCTCACACGTCTTCGGCAAATTCAGCTCATTTATGTCTGAAAAACAAACACAGAAAAATCAGACCAGACGAAGAAGAAGAAGAAGAAGATGAAGAAGAAGATGAAGAAGAAGAAGAAGAAGAGGAGAGAGTCAGATGGTCAGAGGAGGAGAGTTGTTGTTGTTGTTGTTGTTGTTATTTCCCGGTTGTGTCTCGTCTTTATTTCTGGTTCATTTTCTTGTTTCTGTTTTTAGTGTAATAAAAATGAGCCGCGGCTCTGCCCCCGGGACAGAGTCTCCTCTGCTCGGGCTCTGGACCCGGACAGACCCGGACAGACCCGGACGGACCCGGTCAGACCCGGACAGTCCCGGTCAGTCCCGGTCAGTCCCGGTCAGTCCCGGTCAGTCCCGGTCAGTCCCGGTCAGTCCCGGTGTGGAGCCGCCGCTGTTTTGTTTTCAGTCTTTAGCCCGGAGCTAGCGCTGTTAGCATGCTAGGCTAGGCTAGGCTAGGCTAGCGGGTTAGCTCCAGCCGGAGCCCGGGTCCGGAGCTCCGGGTCCCGGGGCCGTGATCGTCTCCGCGGCGGGTCCCGGAGCGGATCCCCGGAGCTCACGGCCCGCGCCGGCCCCGGCCCGTACCCACCTTTCTGGATCCGCAGCTGGGCCGCGCTGGCTTTCTTTCCCCCGGCCCCGGTCCTGTTCGCTCCGGCGGATTCCTCGTCCTTTTTCTGCTGCTTCAGGGAGAACAGCTTAATCATCTTCGGCTCTTCTGGAGGAACCGACCGGGCTCCTGCCGCTGTGTGCCCGTGTGTGCCCGTGTGTGTGCCCGTGTGTGCCCGTGTGTGTGCCCGGGGGGAGAGGCGCTGGTCCGGAGGCGGGGGTCGGTGGGTCGGTCGGTCGGGAGGAGTGTACCGGGGGCTGCAGCTCTGGAGCCGGGGCTTCTTTCACACGGAGCCCGCTGAAGCACTGAGCTCTGGAGTTAGCCTGTTAGCTGTTAGCCGCAGCCGAGGTGCATGCCGGGACACTGCTCCACTTCTGTCCCACAACAACATCAGGGAAGAATCTGGGAAAACTGGGAAAAAAACAGGAATAATGTGGCGAAAAATAAAGGAAAAAAAGAGAACTATGAGAGAAAATGAGGACATATATTTTTATTCATGTTTCATATCGCGGCTCAAAGCGGTTAACAAATATAAAACACATTATAACAAGACAAAAGAAAACATTAAATTCATTCAAATTCATTTTAATGCGTTTACAAAGTGCATTTGTGTTTAATTTACACATGGGTTTTTATCTTGATTTAAAAATATTGATGTATTTCCAGAAGAATATTTTTATTTATTTGCAGCATAAAACAAAAATTCAGTTTGTTTTTTGTTCTGGCAGTAAATGAATAATTTAAGAACATTATTTTCTATTATTATTATTATTATTATTATTATTATTATATTATTATTATTATTATTATTTTTTATTTTATTTTATTTTCTTCTTCGGTGGTTTTTAGTCGGAGCTGCAGTTCGCGCGTGCGGCCGCCAGAGCGCGCCCTCCTGCTGTGAACGAGCCGGACGGGAGCGCGCACAGGAGCACACACGAGCGCGCACTGCACCAGAACCTGGAGGAAGAAGAGGAAGAGGAGGAGGAGAGGAGGAAGAGGAGGAGAGGAGGAAGAGAGGAGGAGAGGAGGAGGAGGAGGAGAGAGAGGAGGAGAGGAGGAGAGGAGGAGAGAGGAGGAAGAAGGAGGAGAAGATCAGGACCGAGCCAGGACTGAAACTGGACTAAACCAAGACCCAAACACCAGAACTGAACCAGAACTACACAGACTTAACTGGAACTAAACCAGGACTAAAACTGAACCAAACCTGGAGGAAGAAGAAGAAGAGAAAAGAAAGAGAAAGAGAAGAAGATGGAGAGGAGGAGAGGAGGAGGAGAAGAGGAGACAGAGGAAGAGAGGAGAAGATCAGGACTGAAACTGGACTAAACCTGGAGGAAGAGGAGGAAGAAGAGGAGGAGGAGAAGAGGAGAAGGAGGAGAAGGGGAGAGAGGAGAGGAGAGAGAGGAGGAGAGGAGGAGATGAGGAGGGAGAAGGATGAGTGAGAAGAGAAAGAGAAGAAGAAGAAGAGCAGAAAGAGGAGGATAAGTGAAAGAAAAGAAGAGGAGGAGGAAGAGAAGGAAAAGAGGAGGAGAAGAAGAAGAGAGGAGGAGGAGAAGAGGAGGAAAAGCGGAGAAAGAGGAGGAGAAGAGAAAGAAAAGAAGAGGAGGAGGAAGAGAAGGAGAAGAGGAGGAGGAAGAGAAGGAGGAGAAAGGAGAAGAGAAGGAGAAGAGTAGAAAGAGGAGGAGGAGGAGGAGGAAGAGAAGAAAGAGGAGGAGAAGAGGAGAGAAGGAAGAAAAAGAGGAGAAGAGAAGAGGAGGAAGAGAAGAGAGAGAGAAGAGAGGAGAGGAAGAAAGGAAGGAGAAGGAGAAGGGAAGAGAGGAGGAAGAAGGAGAAGAGGAGAAGAGAGAGGAGGAGAAGAGGAGGAGAAGAGAGGAGAAGAGGAGAAGAGGAGGAGAAGAGAAGGAGAAGAGGAGGAAGAGAGAAGAGGAAGAGGGAGAAAGAAGAGAAGGAGAAGAGAGAAAGAGGAGGAGAGAAGAGAGGAGGAAGAGAGAGGAGAAGAGAAGAGGAAGAGGAGAGGAAGAGGAGGAGAAGAGGAGAAGAGGAGGAGAAGAGGAGAAGAGGAGAAGGAGAAGAGGAGGAGAAGAGGAGGAGAAGAGAAGGAGAAGAGAGAGGAGGAAGAGGAGGAGGAGAAGAGTGAACATGAGGTTCAGGTTTTGGTTGGAGGCTTTTGGAGGATTGTGTGAAGAGGAAATGAAAGTGGCTCAGACTCTGGAGTTTTGGGTTTGGTTCCGTGAGGAGCCGGAGGATTTCAGATTCTGGAATGTTCCGACGTCAAACACAAACACATTTTTACATTTTTATACTTTTAATCAAAAAAATCTACAAAAACTCCAGCTCCAAATGTTCAACCTGAACGAGACCAGAACCAGAACCAGAACCAGAACCTCGTCTTCCTCAGGTCTGGATCCTAACAAAAAGTCCCACTGACAGAACAGAACCTTTAGAACCTTTAGAACCTTTAGAACGTGTTTAGAACAAACTGGAACTGGAACAGAACAAGAATAAGAGACAGAAACTAGAACAAACACATGGACCTGGTCTAGTCCTGGTTTAGTCCTGGTCTAGTCCTGGTCTAGTCCTGGTTTAGTCCTGGTTTAGTCCTGGTCTAGTCCTGGTTTAGTCCTGGTTTAGTCCTGGTCCAGTCCTTTAGTCCTGGTCTAGTCCTGGTCTAGTCCTGGTTTAGTCCTGGTTTCCTGGTTTAGTCCTGGTCTAGTCCTGGTTTAGTCCTGGTCTAGTCCTGGTTTAGTCCTGGTCTAGTCCTGGTCTAGTCCTGGTTTAGTCCTGGTCTAGTCCTGGTTAGTCCTGGTTTAGTCCTGGTTTAGTCCTGGTCTAGTCCTGTTTAGTCCTGGTCTAGTCCTGGTTTAGTCCTGGTTAGTCCTGGTTTAGTCCTGGTCTGTCCTGGTTTTAGTCCTGGTTTAGTCCTGGTCTAGTCCTGGTTTAGTCCTGGTCTAGTCCTGGTCTAGTCCTGGTCTTAGTCCTGGTCCTAGTTCCTGGTTGTAGTCCTGTTGGTCTAGTCCTGGTTTAGTCCTGGTCTAGTCCTGGTTAGTTCCTGGTAGTCCTGGTCTAGTCCTGGTCCTGGTTTAGTCCTGGTGGTAGTCCTGGTCTAGTCCTGGTTTAGTCCTGGTCTATCCTGTTAGTCCTGGTCTAGTCCTGGTCCTGACAGTTAATCGTGTGTTGGAGTTGTGGTTTGGAGTTGATTTGGTTGATGTTAATTTAACTTCCTCTGGTGTTAATTCCACAGCAGCTGTGGCTACAACAGTAGTTTACATCACCAGGAAAGAAAAGAAAAATGAATCTATAAAAACTCCGTAAAATGTCTTCGTGACACAAACGTCTGTGAAAAGCTCGATATAAATAAAGACTTAATAATTCAACTTTCTTAGTGTTAATTTGTCTCCTCCAAACTCCCGCCAGAGAAGAACCAGTCTGAACCAGTTTTGTCCATAATTTTATCTTAAATTAACTCAAATAAAGTGTCAAAATAAAACCCCTCTGTGTGGTTGAGTTAAATCAGGATAACTCTACACAGTGTTCTCTGTTTATCATTTAACTCTGGGTTTGGGTTAAACAGGAACTTTGGTCCAGTTTTACGTCATGAACATTTACACAAATAATTATTAAATTAACTCTAGAACAGAGTGACTCAGATAAACACTGAGAAAATGTTAAAGCTGATTCTGCCAGTCGGTTTTTCCTCTGTTCCTGATCTCAGACCCAGTGTCCGTGTGTCTGGAGCTCGAGGTTTATTTTCACGCGGCTCATTACACCAAAAACACACAATCTGAAATAAACACACACACTCTTTAATAAACACACACAATCTTTAATAAACACACAATCTGAAATAAACACACAATCCGACACACAAATACACACCGTGAGGCTGAGAAAACAAACTGCGCATGTCTCTTTAAGGCCCATGACGTCAGTGACAACAGCGCAGCGCGTGGAGGCCTTGAGCAGCGCCTCGTGCCACTCCCCCCAAAAACCCACGCGCACCTACACGCACAGTTACGGTAATCCAGACGCACCGTGGATCTAAGCGGACCAATCCGGGCCAAGGCCGAGAGGGAGGGTCTGACGGGGCCAAGACTGGGCCGAAAGAGGACCAAGACTGGACTAAAACTGGACTAAAACTGGACCAAGACTGGACTAAGACTGGGCCAAAACTGGACTAAGACTGGACTAAAACTGGACCAAAGACTGGACTAAAACTGGACCAAGACTGGACTAAGACTGGACTAAGACTGGGCCAAAAGAGGACTAAGACTGGACTAAAACTGGGCCAAAAGAGGACCAAGACTGGACTAAAACTGGACTAAAACTGGACCAAGACTGGACTAAGACTGGACTAAAACTGGACCAAGACTGGACTAAAACTGGACCAAGACTGGACTAAAACTGGACTAAAACTGGACCTGGACCAAGACTGGACTAAAACTGGACTAAAACTGGACTAAAACTGGACCAAGACTGGACTAAACTGACTAAACTGGACTAAAACTGGACCAAGACTGGACTAAAACTGGACCAAGACTGGACTAAAACTGGACTAAAACTGGACCAAGACTGGACTAAAACTGGACCAAGACTGGACTAAAAGAGGACTAAGACTGGGCCAAAAGAGGACTAAGACTGAACTAAAACTGGACTAAGACTGGACTAAATCTGGGCTAAGACTGGACTAAAACTGGGCTAAAACTGGACTAAAACTGGGCTAAAACTGGGCTAAAACTGGGCCAAAACTGGGCCAAAAGAGGACTAAGACTGGACTAAGACTGGGCTAAGACTGGACTAAAAGAGGACTAAGACTGGGCCAAAAGAGGACTAAGACTGGACTAAAACTGGGCTAAAACTGGACTAAAACTGGACCAAGACTGGACTAAAACTGGGCTAAGACTGGGCTAAAACTGGGCCAAAAGAGGACTAAGACTGGACTAAGACTGAACTAAGACTGGGCTAAAACTGGGCCAAAACTGGGCCAAAAGAGGACTAAGACTGGACTAAGACTGGACTAAAACTGGGCCAAAACTGGGCCAAAAGAGGACTAAGACTGGACTAAGACTGGACTAAGACTGGGCCAAAACTGGACTAAGACTGGGCTAAGACTGGACTAAAAGAGGACTAAGACTGGGCCAAAAGAGGACCAAGACTGGGCTAAGACTGGGCCAAAAGAGGACTAAGACTGGACTAAAACTGGACTAAAACTGGTCTAAAACTGGACTAAAACTGGTCTAAAACTGGGCTAAAACTGGGCTAAGACTGGACTAAAACTGGGCTAAGACTGAAATAAATCTGGGCTAAAACTAGACTAACACTGGGACTAAAACTGGGACTAAACCAGGACTAAACCAG